GACAAGGGAAAGTTAGTTTTTCTCACGTATGATGCAACTTTCCTCCCACTAACCACTTTCTCTCGAGGGCGGTTGAGACTCTTCGTTTAACCAATTAACGACGAAGCCTATTCCCTCACTCTCCTGGCTAAAATCGTCACCAACAAATCCGATGGTCCCGTGCGCTAGACACACCCATCCTTAGCTTTCCTCCGAGCTTTCCCAAGACAGTATTGATTTTACATCCTTCGAACGGTCAACATCCTTCAACCGGGTATACACACCCGTAGATCAGTCACTCACTCATCTCGTACATACGCACCAGCGTAATTGCATTTGTTATAAGTTGCTGGAATAAACGGTGAAATATAACTTACTCTACTGTGTCATATTCATTTAACCATCTCTGTTATCTTAACCGAAACAGGGGAACGACTACTTCGCGGCGTCGATTCACCGAATCGTAGCGAGAATTTACGCCTCTCGCTGACGCGTTTTCCTCGCGACCGCGTCTCTCCGCGAACGGTCGTAACACCAACCACCCTGTATATATGTTCAATTATATATTATACATATAATATTACATATAATTACTTAATAATATATAAATGCATTATATTTATATTCTATATTTTGTACATGAAACTCACACAACTCACAAAACTCATATGAAACTGATGCACATAATAATCAAGTGAATTATATACAGGATGATAAGTCTCACATTTGAAGTGTTTATAGTACTTGCCGAGAGTGTTTAAAATAAGACAATGTCTAATCAATGAAATTCTATCCTAAAATCCTAAAAGCAATCCTTTCAATGTAAAATCAACGTTTGTCATTTATTAGCGCTCCATGTCCTGATCACATTTCGCTTCTGACACAGAGAAATTAGAAGTGTTCATTACGAGTACAATGTTGTAAACACAAGGTTATTACTAATATCAACAAAGAATCTTTATTATTCGCCCAGTTCGGTACTCATTATTCCTATATTCTTAATAATGTCCATTATTTTTCTAATATGGAAATGACAAATATGTATTTTGTGCGTGACCTTGCCAATGGGAACACATGCAACCCGTAACTTGTACGCAGAAAAATGCCAACAGCCACATTCCATCTCCTAACATAAAAGCTTTCACAACGTGTATGTAAATTTGATTATTTTGCGTCATGTCATACTAACGTTGGGTGGCTGCGATTTGTTTCTGTTTCTATCGTTGATACGGAAGAACGTGTTTTGAGGATGGTAGAACAGAATCTAAGAACTCGAAAGCCTTCGACTATCGATTCACCGAACCGTACTCTTTATATTGTACTCTTTACTGATGTGGCTGAATTGGGTAGCAGGAATGGGATTACAAATTCTCATAATAGCTATGGATGGTCAGATGAAAGTCCTTGCGCAACTATTGAATCAAGGCATCAAGAAAGATTCTCCTTGAATTTTTTAATCAGAGCCTATTAATAAATGGCTAAGTTGAAGTCTAAATCAAACCCTTGGAGAAAGGTAGATGAGACGAGGAAATCCTGCAGAATGGTCTTGATCGTCTGACTTAAATCCTCTGGATTCTTTATGTAGGAGTGTTTAAAGATTTTTTCCTACTCATAACCGATAAATAATGTGTTGGACTTATGATAACGAATAGAAAATGCGCGTTGTAAGAATACGTGGCAAGGAAAGGATATTTGAAATTGTACGTCGATGTGTGATCCATAGATGTATGTAGCAATAGAGAGAAGATATATCGAATATCAATTATGAAGATCTGTACTGTAAGTGCATCTTGAATTTTTGTATAAATTAAATGTGTTGCGAAGACAATCAATCGTGATACGGGACGCTAGTAAATAATAAAAATTGATTTTATACCGAGAGCATTGCTTTTAGGACTTCTATCGATTAGACATTTTTTATTCCTGGGTACTGTAAGTCCTTTAAGTATAGGAACCTTTTCTATCACCCTGTATATTACATATAATAAATATTTTCAAACAAATTACCTGTTCTGAGCGAAATATTACCTCTATAATTTTTAAACGCAATATCGAACTTGTATCACGTAATAATCTTTCGTTTCTATTCGAACATTAACATATATTATTAACATTATTTCCTTTTTATAATTGGTTTTCGTTTAAGAAAGTTATTTTATTTCTATAACGTTATTTACTAATTTTTATACGAAAATAATTATTATTTTATGCAATTTTAGAGGGCCAATTACCGAAAGGAGCAGCCTATCTGGAGGAGACCGAAACGATAAAACGACCTCCGAGCGACGAAAAGCCGATAATTAGTCCAGGCGAGATCAGTGAGTACATTTTTCATAGATTCGTAACCGTCGAACATATATTTTATGACGTGTACCGAGCACGTAATTTGAGTTTAACCGTATCTATAAACTCTGTTTCGTGGATTCACCCGCGAATTACTTTTTAAAGTGTAATTTACCTTCATCCTGTGTTGTGTGAAGAATTCCCGTGAATGTTGACGTTACGCGTGGTGTGATAAATCATTCTTTACATTCTCGATAAAATTCGTGTGAAACGATTCTTTTCCGGTTACCGCATTATGAAATTAAGCTGATGTTCGCTCAGTTTACAACGTGAAGAAAGAGTACGAGAGCGAGCCAGAAACAGAAAATGAACCGCCAAAGAAGATGGCCGATTTGAGTCCTCGAAAATTCAATGGTATTGGTCCAACATCTAAGGAGGGTATTCCTCTCGTTTTAAGATCGGTAGGTCTCTGCATCCGTCTCTGGTTAAGAGTTAGTGAAAAATTTTAGAATTTAGGTTCATTAATGTATTAAGATCTCTTTAAACATATTATTAATCCCTTACTGTATTACTGACTTTTTACTGTGTATCTTATGTTATTTAGAAACAACTAAATTTAAAATATGATTCTTTCATTGCAATATTAAATTTTAGCTCAAATAATTCTTAATAACTTGCTTTCCATATATGTTTATATCAACCCTCTATAACTAGATTTCTTTTCGTTTGAAGACAGAAAGAAATTAAAAATTGTTCGTGACTTTCTACTTCAATTTGAACTGCTATTACGAGGTCATTTGTTTCTGTATAATTTTAAACTAATATAAATATATATATATATAGTGATAAATATACTACGAATGTTTATGCAATTTTAAGTTGAATACAGAAATTTGTTTCATTTACTTAAATATTATGACAGATACACTCTACTTTTATATATTTTTTTATAATAATATGTATTCTGTAAATTTTTACATATTTAAATTTTATATGAACATCTGCAGTCTAGTGATAAACAATTAAAATAAAATTTAAATATAATTAATAAATAAAATATTGATTAGTAATAATAAAATATACATATATTAAAATATAATAAAAATAAAATTTAAACATTAAGGTATTTTAGTGAGATGTCACATAGTGTTATAGAGGATCATGTACAATATTTATAACTGTCACATTCATACGAACGTCTGCTGTATAGTTAAGTTAATTAACTACAAGTAATTTTTCCACATTATTATTTACTTTCATAAAATTTAATTTTATTCTATGAACTGCACCGTATTTATAAATATTAAAATCTTTACATCACAGTGTGGGATTAAATAAATATCAGGATTTGTGTAATATGTACATATATGTAGGGTGTCCCAATAAATTTTGATTACTTCGAATACCTTCGTTAGTTCTAGATGCATGGAAAATCTTTATTTACAAAGGAATATATTATCCTTTATTAATTCAAAGAATATAATTTATTATGTATAAATTATTAATTAATTTGTTTCTTAGATAAAAATGACGTTCAAAGTTTTGGAAATCTTTCATTTAATGAAGTAAGAATTATTATTGGCATGTCTTATAGCTTCCTTTACATCATAAAAATTCTGTAAATAAAATTTTTCCATATCTTTGAAAAGGCAAACCTTTAAAGTACTCAAAATTGTTGAGACACATCTTATATCTGCAAAATGAATTATACAATTTTAAATTCTAAAAGTAAATTTCTTATCATACACAAAATTAAGAACAGAAGTAATTAGTAAATACTAGTACCAAAATTATCGAAGATCTGTTATTACGATAGTTTTGCGTTTTTCTTAGTCGAATGCTGTATATGGCAAAAAATTATTTAAACGATTCAATGACGTAAAAACCATTAAATTGAAATACATATGTACATATAATATTGAATCACGAAAATTATTTACCATGCCGTTTTAAAACTAATGCATTTAGCTATATTTAACATTTTTTAACATCCTGCCGTTACGAATAAAAAACCTCATTGACTTTTATTTTAGAATTAATGAATTTTCTTCATGTTTGCATCATTTGATTAAAGAACTAAAATTTTAGGAAGTCAAGGAGAATAATCAAACAAAATGGTATAAGAAAATGTACGACTCGTTGCATCGTGCAGACAGAAGCGGTGAGTTTGTGTGGCAAATATGTACTGCGCAGCTTCAATGCTTATACGAAACAATTGAAAGTTGTAATAGCGATTAATATTACGAAAATGCTCAGCAGTATTTTCCTACTCTTTTTTCTTTTTTATTTTAACTAGCCTAACGAATAATATACACATAATAATGTTATGAAATAGTGATCTATTAGTAATGTTTAACATAAATTACCTCTATCTCATTAAAGGTTACCATTCTTCCACTTTCTTTTCAAATTAATTTTGTTTGATTGACATTGCGATTTTTCGAATAACATTTCGTATTGTCACAAATTAAATTCAGTGGCTTCTTGCAGTTTTACAGTTTTTCCGTGAATACATCTTTCACGTGAATTTACTACAATTTAATTCTAACTAAAAAAATACCGTCTCTTCTCAAAGAACAAATCTTTTTTATTCCAATATTAATATCGAAACACGTGTCTTCAAATCTTTGCTTAAATAACGAATCATTATATATTAGAATAGATTAAAAAGTATTAAAGTATTATTCGAATAAGTATTCCAATTCTTAAAACAAGCAAACTATCTGAAAATCACAAGGAGCTGAGATTAATATCTAATCTCATTTTCAGATGACTACATAACCGTTCATTACAAACAAAGAAGAGGTGAATACACGCTCCAACGAATTCAACATATTACGATATAAACGAATACTAATAAATGAAATAGTTTAGAAAATTAACACGATCGTGATAATGGCCTTCTTGCTCGGTCGAGATTTCGCTGTTTTTAACCAGTTAACTGCGTTCGACGTGTATATACAGTGTCCACACAGTGTGCATTAAACGTATCGATAACTTACGTAACACGATACATACGTTGACTCACGAAAATCTTCCAACATTTCTTAAAACAGAATAACTTTTTTAAAATTGGTGTAGTTTTTTCGAATTTTTTATGTATATGAAAATATAGGAAATTATATGGAACAGGGACGACTCGTCGATTCCAATGACCTTGAAGCATGTTGTCAAGGTCATTCTGAACAATTTTTTCCTTTACATGTTACAGTCGCTCGACTTTAGTTTTCGAGATATACATAAAAATATTTTTATTACTATACATATGTATATTTAACGATACGTAGCTTTTTTGAGTCTTGGTTAGATTAATCTATCGTTCGTATCTAATCGTATCGTTAATTTTAAAAGCAAATTGGAATTAATTTCAAGTTATATTTGCGAGATCTGTAACAGGAAATATTACTTCCCGTTTTTCTATCTTTATAAATACGTTCTATGTTTTATGTATGAGCACCGTTGTCCGTATCAACAAAGTTCATTTTATGATTTATCGCTAGATGCTTGTATCTTTCCTCGTTTAAGTATTTATACGAATTCCAACAGTCAGACATAACTGGCATACCCCTGGTTTGCTCTGTTCTTTAACGACGGTGACTAAAGTGGTGAAACTCCGATCGGAAACTAATATAATAAACATCTCCTTGTTTATGCGTTGAATTCTGCCAAAAATTCATTGCCCAGTCACAAGACGATCTTTGTTAATTCTCCCCCCCCCCCCCCCCCCCTTTCGTATGAGCACCGTTGTCCGTATCAACAAAGTTCATTTTATGATTTATCGCTAGATGCTTGTATCTTTCCTCGTTTAAGTATTTATACGAATTCCAACAGTCAGACATAACTGGCATACCCCTGGTTTGCTCTGTTCTTTAACGACGGTGACTAAAGTGGTGAAACTCCGATCGGAAACTAATATAATAAACATCTCCTTGTTTATGCGTTGAATTCTGCCAAAAATTCATTGCCCAGTCACAAGACGATCTTTGTTAATTCTCCCCCCCCCCCCATTTTTGTTTCAATAATTCGATTACTTCAGTTTCGTTTCGACAATTTTGTTTTCACTTCCTGTTTACGTAGAATGTTTTTCAAACCACAAGATACATATATCTCGGCAAAAGCTGGCCCAACCGACAGCTGTTCGCGAGGAAGTGCTTACTGAGGTAGTCCCAGTATTATACGGTACGCAATGAAGCGGCAAGCAGTTTATACACAAAGATGTATATTGTGAAACGTTATTTTTCTAAGCACCAATTTCTAGATGTCTTCATACGTTTTCTATTTCGACCTTTGATACAATAAGTATCATAATATCTTCATCATTCATTTGTTGCATTTAGTGCAAATTCATCATGCCATGAAACACTGCTTGGCCAATCAAAAACCTATCAACCATTCCGTAATTGCTGTAGATATCCAAGAAAAAGGCCAACCCAAACTCAGACTCATTACATTGATAATATTCATTTCTATTTTAATTATAACAGACATTTCTTACAGTGTACGCAGCTTTACTTAAGCTCGTTTCACCCTTATGCGCATATATAAACAGAAGATATAATAAGGAGCAAAAGTGAACACACATTCAGCATTTTAATATAAATGGTATTTTATTCATTGCCTGTATATAGAACACAAGAAAAGCAAAATATATAGTATTATATAAGTTCATGTTATCATCATTGTTTTGGTAAATAAAAATTGTTTTCGTGAAATCAGTTTTGTACCGCAAAAAAAGCTGTCAGAATCAACTAGTGTAAACATGAACTTTGTTAACAACTAATGTTGATGCCTGGGATCAGAATTGTATTAGCAATTAATCTGTTATAGTTTCTACAATAAAACACATCAAAGCATCTTTAATATTTCGTAATGAAATCATTATCGCGAAGCGTGATGAATAGTGTTATCTTTCAACTAAAAAATGGTTTGTCAACAAACAAGTTGCTTGCGAAATCTTTTCTTATCGAAACGATATTGTAGCGATGTTCCTACATTTTTTTTAGACAATCCGAAATTGCTATCTTCTAATTAGAAGAGAGGATTAAGATACATCACCTCCGACGTTGTAACAATCGGATCAATAACTGCAAAATTATTAGAAAATTATTAGATATGTTAAAGAAAATTAGTAATTAGACGGCTGGAAGAGCACTAAAGGAATTTCATTTTATGGTAATCGAAAAGAAAAAGAAGCCTGTTTTTCCAAAGATCAATATCAAGGCCTGCCTACGTTTCGCAAAAAAAAAAAAAAATATACTATTTGGACTATTAAACAGTGGGAAAAAATGATTTGGTCTGAGAAATCTAAACTTAATCGATTTTCATCGGATAGACGTTCGTGGTGCTGAAAGAGAAGAAGTGAAACTAGTCTATTGCCACGTCATGTTAAGCAAACAATTAAATTTGATGATGGTTTGATTATGATACGAGGATGCGTTACAATATACGGTGTAGGTTCGTTACATCGAATCGAGGGAATGATGAACCAATAGATCTATAAAGACATTTTGCAAGAAAACTTACTGGAAACAGCTGAAAATACGTCGGTATCAGAGAGTGACGTCATATTTCAACACGACAATGACCCTAAGTATCGTATCAGGCTGTCCCAAAAATGTGTATGACCCATTTTGTAGTAATATAACAAAATGGATCATACGTAGTTCAATAAAATAATATAAAACAAAAAATGTTAGTATCATTATTATCTTCTTATAAAACGAAAGAAACTTTTGAGACAACCTATAGTATTAAGAATGTGAAAAATTGGCTACAGGTTCAGCTCTTCCAAACCATAGAATGACCTGATCAAAGCTCAGAATTAAATCCTATAGAAAATGTCTGAGCACACATAAAAATGTAGTTGGCAAATGGATAGGATGCTCCCCTATGAATCTTAATGATTTATGGCAACGAGAGCAGGGACAATTGTATTTCATCACGCAGGAATATTGCGAGAATATTATATCAAGCATGCTAAAATGTGTTCGAGAGATTACTGAATATTAAGTTTACAAACAACTACTATCTTCATTTAAAATTACTTGCGGTGCAAAACTGATTTCACGAAAACAATTTTTATTTACCGAAAGAATCACTATAACACGCACGATAAAATTTTTTAGGTATATAAAACACTATATATTTTGCTTTTTTCGTATTCTATATGCAAACTGTTGAAGGGGTCATCACGTCTAAGAAAACCCTACATCTGGTCTTTTTAGTTTTCTCAAGCACTGAATCCATTGACAGCGTATAGACAATAGACTGGAACGAAGGCAGACCATAGACAGTAGACAGGCGACGATGGCTTCGGGACTTTCAGTTATAGGATAACAGTGCTAGCGTGCGGATCGGGATCAGCTCAAATTATATTCCTACTTGTACTTACACTTCTGTATTAAAATATATTTTCTACTTTACAATTTATCCACATGTTTCTCTGTTCATACATCTAATAACCTCGACACAAACAATGGGTAAAAGCTCCGAGTATGTGTTCAGTTTTGCTCCTTACTATAAACGTTAGGGTTTGACTAGGTCATCCTTTCCAACCGCTGGTAACCAATACAGACGCCGTCACGGATGCACAATGATAAAGCAGAATCCACTGTTCTGATACCGATTGTTTTTTGTGAATGTCTCAGATATGTATTAAGAAGTCATTGAAACTGGAGAGAACGTAACGGTTCTACAGTTTCACTATGTAATTACCCAAATATGTTCTGTAGATTTATGCTAGTTACATACAGGATGTTCGGCTACAGATATAAAAAAATTTAAGGACATCAAGAATTTAAAAAAATGCATTTTCGGCTTTGTCCTTTAGTTATTGCAAATTAAAAATTAGTCGAAATATTCATGTGCGCGAGCAAACTTTACGCGAACGAAAGTAGGTCAGCCTAAGCAACGGCTATACAGCAACCCTCACATCGAACGATAAATGGGCAGCAGCTTACATCGTAAAAGTCGTAGAGAGCGATGCGATCGAATAGATATGAATATTATAATGCGCCATTGCACATGATCATGATTATCATCAGTAATTTGTGTGAAAAGTGTGTTTGGTTCATGCAAGACAGTGTTCGATCACATTTAGTAGCACCTCAAAAATACTTAATGCATATGTGATTTTTCTGTGGACATCCGCGGACAGGACGATCACGGTGCGTGTGTGAAATTTGTATAAACATTGTTTATCTGTTATTATTTATTAATTATTTATAGACGCAAAGGATTAGAGGAAACAGCAATCCTCCTTCCTCGAAAATTCCATGAAACGGTTTTCGATATTATAGACTTTATTTTAGATCTGTTATAGATTTTAATGAGTTTTTTAAATGTTTAATTTGCGATTTGTCATACGAAACGTCGCGCAGGATGATTTACGTTTTCGAATGTCATAATCTTCTTCTCTACTTGTACGAGGTAAGCTACTACTGGCCATGTATCGTTCGATTTGAAGTTCGCTGTTCCAGCTGCTCAGATTTGACCTACTTTCGTTCGTGTAAGAAGGTTTGTTCGCGCACAGGGATGTCTCCCTTGATTTTTAAGAATCGACAACTAAAAACAAAAATAAAATCGCATTTTTTACATTTTTGGTATTTATATTCTTCTAATTTCAAGAATCACCCTTTAAATCTTCTTAGACCTGCAGCCCCTGTATGTGCTGAAATTTTATCGAAATCGGTTGATGCAGAAACGAGTGGTATGGACCGATATTTTTAAATTTACTGCAGTAATAGGTGGGTAGTCGTGAAAAACTACTATTTTCACCATTTTCCATCGCCTGTACATAGCAATGT